TGCTCCTCACAAAACTCCATGAAAGCCGTCGATGTGTACTCCCCACCTCGGTCAGAACGTACCGACTTGATGTATCTATCAGTTGCATTCTCAACCATCACTTTGAACATATTTAAACACCTCGAACACCTCAGACTTTTCCTTCAAAAAATAAATCCAAGTTTTTCGTGAAAAATCATCAATAAACGAAATAAAATACCTTTTCTTGCTAAAGGATTCGGGGGTGATTGGTCCACATAGATCAGTATGAATCAACTCTAGAGGTTGCTTAGCCCGATATCCTGCCATTTTTTGAAACGAGGTTCTTGCATGCTTTCCTAAAACACATTCTTCACAAATTTTCCTTCATAGTTCATATCTGGTAACCCTTCCACCATGTTCTTTTTTGCTAACTCGGTTAGACCGCCATAATGTAGGTGACAAAAACGGAGATGCCAAAGCGAAGCCTTGTCTACTACGTCGGCTTGCAAACATTCGTCCTGCACACTTCTCAAATTCAGCTTGTACATCCGGTTTCTCCCCTATCAACTCGGGCCACCAACCGACCTCGCTCATCTTTCAAGTGCAGTACCCAGTCTTTCATGAGTACCGAGTACCCTTTCTCCATCAGTTGTCACATACTCAAAATGTTGCTCTTGAGGTCGGGTACATAGTACACATCTCGTATTGATCCAACTAACCCGTCCTTCTGTAAATATCGAACCGTACCTCGGCCTTTGATCTCTACTTTCGATGCATCTCCAAATGAGACATGTCCAGCTTGCACCTTTCACAAATCTTTAAATAGGTGCTTATGTCCAATCATATGATTGCTTGCACCCGTGTCGAGATACCACTCCCTCTTGTTGTCGGAGTTGACTTCACTGTGTGCCATCAAAAGAACACCTCCTTCTTTCGTTTCTCCTTCCGTGGCTAGGTTGGAAGTCTCTTCCACCTTCTTCTCATCTTGGCAATTTCTTGCAAATTGTCCGATCTTGCCACAATTGTAACATTTATCCGAGTTGCAATCTTTTGTATAGTGACCATACTTGCCACACTTGTAGCACTCAATGTTGGAGTAACACGACCGACCTCTTCCACGACCTCGTCCTCTTCCACGCCAGTTCTGTTGGCTTGACTGTCCTTTCTCCTCACTCTGCCCTTCTTGACCACGACCTCTACCACCACGACCATTTCCACATCCCCCACAGCCACGACCTCTACCTCAAAAGTTTTGAGAATAGAGGGCCTTCTCGTCTTTGATTGATGCCTTGGTTTGAAGCGCTTGCTTAAGTGTCTCTTCTTTCTTCTTCTTCTTACGTTGTTCATGTGCCTCAAGGGAACCAGCGAGCTCTTCAACAATGAGCGTTGCTAGATTCTTTGATTCTTTTATGGCACATACGACATTCTCGAAATTGTTGGTTAAAGACCTCAAGATCTTTTCCACCACTCTCGCTTCGGACAACGCTTCTCCATTCCTGTTTAACTGGTTCACCACGGTTTGAACACGCATGATGAAGTCGGACACACCTTCCGTCTCCTTCATCTTCATTCCTTCCAACTCGCCGCGAAGAGTTTGAAGTCGGACTTGCTTAACACGGTTAGCTCCTTTGTAAACATTCGCCAAAATGTCCCACGCTTCTTTTGAAGTTGCAGCACTCACAATCTTCTCAAAGCCTGACTCGTCCACAGCTCGGAACAACATGTACAATGCCGCCTTGTCTTTGGATCGCGTCTATTTCAACGCCTTGTTTTGAGCCGCCGTATAACCTGCGGTAGATGCTGGTTCTGTAAAACCATCTTGAACTACCTCCCAACTATCTTGGGATCCAAGAAGAGCTTTCATTTGGATGCTCCAATTCTCGTAGTTTACCTTCGTTAGACGGGGCAACGCCACATTACTGGTCACAACCTCCATTGGCTCTGATACCAATTTGTAGGATCGCTCAAATACAGAATCAACAAATAAAATAACTATTGAACAATGTCGTGAGGACTTGTGGAGAAAGGGAACAAACTTCTGTGAAAATATTTTACTGAACTTCGTTACTTGTCAATTCTACATTACATCAAGCCTATTAATAGGCAACACAAAAAAACTGAAAGTATCAATGAAGATACTCATTACAAAGCTAATCAAGAGTCTCATAACACCCTCATAACATAACTAATTATACCCCTAATAAACATAACACTTTAACTTCATAACTCACATAAGAAAATGATGTGCCTTTGGCATATAGATATTTCAGAGTAAAAAGATTAAGGATTTTACAGTAATTCAGTAATAAAGTTATTGTTTTTGAGGAATTATTGATAATCCATCTTCAGACACACGTTCACTTTCATTTTATATTTTTACAGAGTAAAGCAGAAAATAAAACTGAGGAAGAGCCAAATAGCGTGAATGTCACGCTAATAGCGTGAATGTCACGCTAATAGCGTGAATGTCACGCTTATGGCGTGAAAATTCAGAGCTGAAGAAAAATACCGCGCTAGTCGTGCCAAGTCACTACAATCTCACGCTTTTAGCGTGGTGATCCAAGCTAGTCGCGCCAATCTTCACTGTCTCCTCACGCGAATCGCGTGGAATTGGCGCGGATGGCGTCGATTTTCGTAAGTTTTATTCCGTGATTTGCAAAGTTGTTGAAAACAGAAGGAAAATCAAATCTTTGATAAGATCCTGATCTGATTGGATTGTTGCTTATAAAAAGAAGTCAGAAACCAAAGTAAAAAAAAAAAACTTTTGCACAGAGGGAGAATTACGAAGGAGAACGCGGAGCAAGCTTTTGGGATTGAAGATTGAAGCTTTCTTCTCCAAATTTTCTGGTTATTATTTTCTTTTATGAATTCTTTTCTATATATAGAATTGTCAGACATGAACATGTCTGGCTAGTCTTTTATTATTGTGGTAAGGGTCACAACCCTTAATGTGAACCCCTTTAGTTTGGTTAATTTTTATATTTATTTTTTCCAATTGTATTTATTTTATCCTGTTCTTCATGTTTTGATTTTTTTAGAACCGATCACTCTATTAGGATTGCGAGGGTTAGGGTTTTCAATAGGAATATTGAGATTCTAGTTCCTGACAAAGGGTAAAATAACAATTCATGTACGCACTAAGGACATGCTGCATGAATTGCAAACGTGAAAAATTCACTGATTTAAAGGCTTAACTTGAAAAGGAATTTCTAAGGGATTAGGATTCTAATAGGGTTAATAAAGTTAAGATCACTAAGGAATTAGAGCTTAACTAATCAATTAATAGATGGTGAATTGTTTGATCAATGGTTAAATTAAATGTAAAACTTAATTCATAGTGCAAGGTGGGGATCATAAAGGTGTTGGCGTCTTTTACCGCAATATTCTTTTAAATATTTTTTCAATCTTAATATGTTATTCTCAAAGTTTTAAAAGCATCTTTGAATTATTCACAAGTTTTTGAATTGTTCTCAATTTTTACAATCACAATTATTCTCAAACCAATTTTATTAATCCAACAAGAGAAGAATAGTTTAAATAATTTCGGTGCCTCAATCCTTGTGAAGACGATACTCTACTTACCCTTTTATTACTTGCAACGATCGGTACACTTGCCGATTTTTCGCAACAGAAAACCAAGAGACAACTGACTCTTCAATATTTTAACTCACACAAGAAACTAAAAAGACATTTGAACAATAATAACAATTGACTCTTGACCTTTATTGTCCTAAAAACCGCTAAATTAAATCCACTAAGAATTAAACTTACGTTTATTCAACACAAATGTGGAGCTGTAAATTTGGTGATCGTAATTGTCCTTGGAATGTTCAACCTGTTCTAAACAGTAAACACTGTACAGCTAAAGTGATGGAATGTGCCAATCCATTTCTCACAACAGCTATGGTTATTGTAAAATTTTCCCACTGTTTCTTATTTTTAGTAAATGGAGTATGTACTCATGCAGTACATACATGGCATATTATATGAAATGCACAATACGTGATGGAATATTCCTATTTTAAACTGGTACTGAATTTCATAATGTGCTCTGCAATTTTATTTAATCTCTTGAGTTTGAACACGAAGGCATATCAGGACCCAGAAATAGCAGTGTCTGTAGAATATTGGACAAAATTCAACTGTTATGACATGTACCTGCTAAGGGGAGAAGTTGCAACCATACAAGTGCTATCTGCTCTAAAGAACCAAGTCTAGAAGCTCTAGGCACTGATGTTATGATGGCAACATGAAAACAAGAGTGCTTATAATCAGAATTGCATAAAAAGTACTACTCAAGAGTCGGGTGTAGTGGTAATCCTCTTAGAGGACTAAGGTTCAAATTTTGGAAATGACAATTGCATAAAAAGTTTAATTTGTACAAGTATTTGTCAAGAAATGTCAATTAACAGTATCTGTGTCGTGCCTTATTGATGACTCTTAGCTTGGAATATCCTTTCACATTATGTACATGCTTTGTATTTAACCTCATCATAGCTCATATGTGTCAAAAATCAAAACCAAACACATGGAGGAAACAATTCATGACTTTGATCAATAGTATTGTCTTCAGCCTTTGTAACATATCAGGACAATCTTCAGAATATTTATATATATACATCAGAGTCTATTAAATTCCATTTTCCTCTTCACGAAAGAGTTTTTTTATATGTACTGAAATTGCAAAAGATTATGTTGTAGTAAAAACTGGGAAATTTTGCATGATCGAGTCATTATAATCGGATATTCCTGTCTTTAAGAAAATAATATTTTATGTTGTGAGTAGAAAAATGCACCGATATGCAAATTTTTTATAATGTCAATGGAGACAGGAGTTATTCATGACATAACAAAAAGACAAATAGAAATCCATTTTATGACAAAAGAGTAAACAGTATAACTTAGGAAGAGGTAAAGCTTGTAATCATGTGTAAGATTATTCATTCAATAAGGATTGCCGCTGAAACTTCACAAGCAACAGAAAATGGCATCGCACTGATAAATGGCATAGAAATGAGACACAGGACCATGGTCTCAAATATACAGGATCTAGTAAGTAATATGTCAGAAGACAAATAAGATAAAGCTATATACAGTTTCTGTCTGTTAAAATTTCACAACAACATTATGTATTGGAAACTACATCATTTACTTTCCTGATCAAGTAAACACTGCATTTGCTTTAGTCTTCATATTCTATCTAGCTTCAAAAATTGTAAGGGACATCTCATTTAAAGATATTGATTCAGGTAAACTCCTTCCAGTATAAAATCCAGGAGGATTTGGCTGGGGCAATAATTTTTCACCATTCAGCATAAGAATGACAGAGGACATGTCTGGCCTGTCTACTGGTTTTTGTTGTGTGCATAACAAACCCACATGTATGCATCTTAAGACTTCAGATAAAATGCATCTTTGGCGTAAATGTTTGTCTATAAGTTCCAATGGCCTGTCTTCAGTCCAGAGTCTCCATGCCTAAAGCCATGGAAATCAAATTAGTCACTTTGAATATATTCTAATGTGAGACAATTCAACTATGTAGTAAAGTGGATAGTGATTATGCTTACATGTCCAAGTAGATTAAGAGAATGTTCTGGGTCAGAAAATCCTCTATTCTTTTTTCCACTGATTATCTCCAGTACTATTACACCAAAGCTGAAGACATCTGATTTCACGGAGTAATGACCATGTACGGCATATTCTGGAGGCATGTAACCACTACAAACATTTTTTTACAGAGGAATAAGTAAAAAAAAAACAATTGCACATAAAATTTTCGTTAAGTAGAAATAGAAGGTAACTTACTATGTTCCAACCAGTTTTTTTGTTTTAGCTTGAATTTGATCTTCCCCAAAAGTACGAGCCAGGCCAAAGTCTGAGATTTTTGGGTTCATATGGGCATCTAGTAAGATATTGCTGGTTTTCAAATCTCTGTGAATAATTCTCAGTCTAGAGTCTTCATGAAGATAGAGAAGCCCTCGAGCAACACCACCAATTATGTGGAAACGCTGAAGCCAGGCAAAGAGCTTTCTTCTAGTTTCATCTAGATAAATTTACTAACATTGTTTAGTATAGCGCTTGCTTTATCAACAAGCTTTAAAGGTTACCACAAATGTTAGTGTAAAGTAAAACATTAGAGGCACAAACCAAAGATGAAGTAGTCTAAGCTCTTATTGGGCATGTATTCATAGATCAACATTTTTTCCTCTCCTTCAATGCAGCAACCAAGAAGCTTCACAAGATTACGATGCTGAAGTTTTGCAATCAATGCAACTTCATTTTTGAACTCCTCCAATCCTTGATCAGACTTCTTTGAGTGCCGTTTTACTGCTACCTCTTGCCCATCTATCAGTGTACCCTGAAAGCCATCATTTGGAATGTCTATAAAAATTTGTGGAGAAAATAAAAATCTTTTATTGATATGCCTATAGTTACCTTATATACTGGTCCAAATCCACCTTCACCCAGTTTATTTCTGCTAGAAAAGTTATTAGTGGCTTTTGCAATGATTGACAAATCAAATGTTGGCAGATCCATGTCATCCTTCCTCAATCTAAAATATTCTTGCCGCCATTGAAATAGTGCTAGAAGAGGATATACTCTGGCCGCCACTGAAATGTGCAAGATCATAATATCAAGAAATTAATTACCATGGCAACCCTCTTTTTGGATACAAATATATACCATCATATCTTAAAAACATTTGCAAATTCAAGCTTGATAATATGTACCAGAATTTTTAAATCTTTTTAAATACAGATTTGCACATCCTACCATGAATTACTATCATATATTATATAATAAATATGAGATTATTGTTTCTCATGTTGCGATAATTTTATCTCCTAAACACATATAAAAGTATATGGGGCCCATATGGGGCCATGTGAAGATAAAAGAAAGAAAAACAAATCATGAACCTCATATACTTTTATGTGTATGTAGGAGATAAAATTATCTCCTATAACATGAAAAATATTAATCCTATAAATTATATCGAATACAGAATTTACCTCGCTTTCTAAGTATCAGCATGGAGACACATGTAATGAATCCAAAAATAATCCATCCAATTGTGATTCCAACCATCTTCTTCTGTGTATATCCGTGGCCATTATCCGCAACCTGATCTGATAGACGCAGAGCATGATTGATCATAAACTATTAGTACAATTGAAACTGACAAGGGTAACAAGCTTCTTAGACTGAGGTAATATGTAGAGAGAATAGTAATATTATTTAATTTAACACTAACCATATCAGAAAAAAAGGAGATGAGTTAGAAAACAAAGGCAGTATAACAATTTACAAGCATGTCTAATAACTTTTTTGACAGTGGATAGTAAAATCTTGCAACCATCAAATCTTTGTTTCAATTGCCATGGCTTCCACTTGGGCATCACCTTTCAAGCTGCAATACCAAAATGTTCTGTTGAAGTTAGAATTTCTCACTGCCTTACCTATCTCTACTGTTGATCTTTTATGAGAAAAACAAACATCAGAAACAATATTGTGCAACAGCTTATTTTATTCTGACTAATGAACTTGTTTTTAAATACAAAACTGAGCTCATGTGGTTGCTACTAACCAGCTGATTTTGTTGGTCCACAAAATCAGCAACAAACTAACAAAGCAATAACAGTAAAATGCAGTAAACAAACTCCTAAACAAAAGACTAATCAATTTAAAAAAACAACTAATTAACTCCTAAAAAATAGGACATCAACAGCAGCCTTGAAACACCAACATTCTCCTCCTGGGTCAAGTGCTGCACACTCCTAGCTTCTCCCTGAGAAATTCAAATCGACTAACATGAAATGACTTGGTGAATATATCTGCAATTTGGTTTTCTGAACTGCAGTACATTAGCTTCACTTCTCCAGCCTTCTGCACTTCTCTCAAAAAATAATACTTGATCTTAAAATGCTTTGTTCTTCCATGAAATACTGGATTCTGTGAAATAGCTAGAGCAGCTTGATTATCCACAATTACTTCTATGCCTTCTTTTTGCTCCAAATGCAGGTCATCCATCAGCTTCTTCAACCATAATGCTTGGTTTACAGCTGCAGTAGCTGCAATGAACTCAGCTTCTGCAGTTGATTGGGCCACTATTTCCAGCTTCTTTGAACACCAAGAAAAAGAAGCTGACCCAAATGTAAAACAATAACCCGAAGTACTTTTCATATCATCCACTGATCCAGCCCAGTCACTGTCAGAATACCCTTGCAACTTAAACTTCTGAATTCTGCAGAATTTGATTCCATATGAAAGAGTACCTTTCAAGTACCTTAACACCCTTTTTGCAGCTACCATATGCAGTTCACTTGGACAAAGATCTGTATGAATTAGTTGTAGCTTCTTTGTAGCTCTCCAGGTGGATTCTTTGAAAGGAAGTCTTGCCTGTTTGCCCAAAAAACAAGCTTTGCACCTTGTGATCTGCTCCTCCAGGATTGGTAACCCAGTTGCCATTTCATTCTTCTGCATGAATAGTAAGCCTTTGTAATGAAAATGCCCCAACCTTTTGTGCCATATTTCTGAATCACTAGCCTGACACTTGAATGCCGCTTGCTCCTTCTCAAGGGGATTTAGAGAAAAACTCTTCTGTTGCATCTTTATTCTGAACAGCTCCTGACCATTTGAGTCAAAGATCAAACACTTCCCTTCTTCAAATATCACTTTAAATCCCTTTTCTACCAACTGCCCCACACTCAGCAAATTCTGATCAATATCAGGCACGTACATCACACCAGAAACCAGCTTAGTTCCAGCATAGCTCTCTATTGCTACAGTCCCTTTACCTTTCACTTCTAGATACTCTCCATTTCCAATTCTCACTCTTGACTGCAATGACTTGTCAAGGTCTCTAAATAGCTTTTCATCACTTGTCATGTGATTTGTGCAACCACTATCAACAAGCCAACTATCACATGGAGCACTAGAGGAGAAACAAGAGGCAGCAAATAATTGATCTGCCTCATGCTGGTCTGCAACATGTGCCTCACCTTGCTGCTGATCTCCTTTTTCTTTGCAGAACCTTTCAATGTGTCCAAGCCTATGACACTTTCTGCACTTCACATCTGGCCTCTTCCAACATCTGAAGTGTGGGTGATTCTGCTTTCCACAATGCTTACATGAGGAATTCCCGCCCCAATTGTTCTTAGAGTTGATTGCATTGTTCTCTCCTGCAGCAGCTTCTGAACCACTACTGTCATCTCCTTTCTTCCATCTTACATTATGCTGTTCTTTAGCCTGCAAAGCTCCTTCTGTACTTCCTTCAAGCCTCATTAACCTTCTCTGCTCTTGTGCTTGCAGAGCACTTAGCAATTCTGCCAACTTGATTTGAGACAAATCCTTGGTATTCTCCAAAGATGCAATGGTTGCTTCAAACCTTTCGGGCAAGGAGACAAGAACCTTTTGCACTAGCCTATTATCAGAGAGGTCAGTGCCTAGAGCTCTTGCTTGATTTGCAATATTTACCAACTTATCAGAATACTCCTTAATTGTTTCAGACTCCTTCATCTGCAATCTCTCAAATTGTGTGATTAGATTCAGCCCCTTCATGCTTCTAATCCTCTCATCTCCTTTATACTCATCTTTGAGGAAGTCCCAAATAGCTTGAGCTGATTCACAAGCCATAATTCTGCTGAAAATGGCAGGTGAGACAGCAGCATATAAACAAAACTTTGCCTTTGCTTTTCTTGTTATCCTCTCCTTATGAAACTTGATCTGATTGATGGTTGGATTATCAGGAAGGGGAGCAACTTCATAATCTTGTTCTACAGCTTCCCAAAAATCGCAACCCTCTAGATAGGCTTGCATTCTCACTGTCCATGCTTGATAATTTTCTCCATCGAATATTGGTGGAGCCATTGCTGAAAAACCACTCGATCCTCCCTCCATTAATTTCTCAAGTCACTCACAGCCCCTTAAGATCAAGAAGGCTCTGATACCAATGTTGATCTTTTATGAGAAAAACAAACATCAGAAACAATATTGTGCAACAGCTTATTTTATTCTGACTAATGAACTTGTTTTTAAATACAAAACTGAGCTCATGTGGTTGCTACTAACCAGCTGATTTTGTTGGTCCACAAAATCAGCAACAAACTAACAAAGCAATAACAGTAAAATGCAGTAAACAAACTCCTAAACAAAAGACTACTCAATTTAAAAAAACAACTAATTAACTCCTAAAAAATAGGACATCAACGGCAGCCTTGAAACACCAACATCTACCCTTTTGTTAGAATAATGAAATATAATCAATTGTATATAACTACTTGCAAGAGGCTATTTCCCATACTCAAACCCAAGACCTTTTGGTCCCATGGAGCAACCTTACTTCTATTCCAAGGCTCTCACCTCAACAGAATGGAAGAAAGGGAAAAAACAAAATTGTTTTACCTTGTTCTGATGCAGGGACTCTTATATAAAGGTCTTGTCCCCATTGAGAGAAAATCCTCGTGTCAACCAGATCATGAAACCAAAGTAGACAGCCACTTCCTCCATTACGGACATCCAAATTTGCATATGCTGTGCATGAACAGTTTTTCAGACATGACTTGTGGCATTCCTCAAGGTTCATGGTCGTACTATACCAAGATGAAGACGTGTCTGGAATTTTCAACTGTTTGTATTTCCAGAAGCCATCAGTGCTACTGTTTCTGTTTTTACAAGTAGAGTTGTTCCTTGAAACACAACCCCCAGCCCAAAATGATATATTCCATTGTTCAGGAAAGTTAGGAACATATCCTCCAAGGCATTCACATTTCGGAACATTACCATTCATATTGCATATAGAATTTGCACCACACATAGCATAAATATCACACGAGTCTAGACCAGTTTCAATAACTTTCTGATCACTTGTTTTACTTGTCCAAGCTAAACTCCGCAAAAGGCCTGAAGGGCTCAATGTATATATAGAGACAAACGTGCTATCAAGGACTTCATATTGATGATACACTTCTTCAGCATTCACGACAAATATAAACCTTTGTTTTCCTATCAATGGTTGAATTGGGTATCCAGTAAAACCAAGGCCATTCCATGATCCAATTCTAGATTTTATAACAGATCCCTTCATAAAAACTAGTTGTGGATATCCTCCAATGTTAATATGCACAGAAAACTCTCCCCTAGCTGGATCATCTGCACTTTTCCATGATGTTAAAAACCTGTCTAGACCAGTTACTAAGTTCCATCCAAGCTTCATTCCTGGCAATAATGTATCACATGGATAATCAAAACTTTGCCACAAGATCTGGTCCTCCTTAGTATCCTTTCCATTTTTCAAGACAAGATTTCCCGAGTCCAGGAGCTGAACAATTGGATTATTCACTGTTTCCTTTGATATCTTTGACGACCAAACAGTGCTGTTTGTGCTATTGAGAAGCACAAGAACCCCATCTTCATTGAGTTTCAAGACTCCTGAATTATTCTGGAGTGGTGTTTCCCTGTTGGCTACCCACACCACAGTTAAAGGTGATAAATTTCTGTACCACACACCCAAATATCGACTTGCTGAATTTCCAGGTGTGAAGAAACCCACTTCAAAAGTTCCATCTACTGAAACTAAAGTTTGACCATCTTGGATGGATTGACTCACTGCTAAACTGTCTAGGGAAGTGCAGGTTCTAACATAGGAGAATAAAAAGAACGAAAGAAATAACACTCTAATGTTATCAACCATTTTAGGATGCTTGATGGTTCTTATGAACAACAGGGTTTATGTTGTTATAACAATCATAGCATAAATTTTGGTCATCAAATTACTTGGTCAATGACTGACCATTGTTGCGCTTTTCTCAATTAATAATGGTAAGAGTAAATATCTCTTTCGGTCCTGACAAAAAATACGATTCTCACTTTAGTCTCTTACAAAAATAAATTAGTCAGTTAGTCCCTATCAAATTTAAAGTGGATCTATTTAGTTGAACTAGTAATCCCTCGTAAATTCAAAAAAGACCCATATTAGTCCTCAAAAAGACTAAAATGGGTCCACCTTACATTTGTTAGGAACTGACTTTCTAATTTATTTTTGTAAAAAACTAAAGTGGGAATCGTATTTTTTTGTTAAAGATCAAAAAGAGTATTTATTCTAATTGTAAACAACTGATTCAATTCAAACTAGAATTTTTTTTTTTTCTCAATACTTTTCTACACGAAATCCTAGACCATAGGAAATGATGAAGTTTGAATGGGAGTGCCCACTTTTCTGTACTGTTATTTGACAGGACATTTCCGTGGATATTCCAATAAAATAGATTTTATTGTTTAGTCTAGCATATATTTTTTATAAGTTACATATGTTTTTTATGAAAGATAATTTTATTTGGGATAAGTTTAAGATTAAGAAAATTTATATTTAAAGATTTAAAACTTTAATCCTATATATGTTTCGAATAGGATTGTTCCCCACAAAAAAAATATTTGTGTTTTATTTAAAAAGAAAAAAAAACACTAAACCAAACAATAAATTCTATTTTATTGGAATAGCCATACTCGGAAATATCCTGTAAAATAACAGTACAGAAAAGTGGGCACTCCAATTCAAACTACACCATTTCCTATCAAAGCAAGCGTCAAAGCTTAGCTGCCGCCACCTTGACCTTTAAATGGGTTGAAAAAATTATTTGTCTATGTTTTACACGAGGTAAAATAAAGATATCGTTGGGGGAAAAAAAATTATCATCCTTTACCTTTTTTTATATAAAATAATTAGAGAAGATTATCATTGATGGGATGAAATTATTTTTTCTTATATGGTAAAAAAATTAACACACAACATCAGTAAAATTAACTTAATATTTCTGAAAAAAAATTGGCCTATAAATGGGAGAAATTATATTTACAACCTATTTTCATTTACAACCTCTTACAATATCTTAACCGTTGATTTCCGTCAATCAACGGTTATTATTTATTGTGAATAAATAATTAATTAATATATTTTATTTATTAAAATTTGAATCGTTGATTAGCGGAAATCAACAGTTAAAATATGGGTTATAAGAGATTGTAAGTATAACCTTCCCCATAAAAAATGTATCCAGAAAAAAAAATTCCATCAATTTTCGGAAATTATTTTTTCCCAATAAAAAAAATATCCTTCGACCAAACGCCCTCTGAGTTCCATTGTCTCTATTATACGATCTACAACAATTTCTAGATTTGAAAATTTTTGCTCAATGGATTGTTGCTGGAGTTGGATTCCTTGAACCCGGTTGGCAAGATCCTTAAATTCAATGTTTTCAGCTATGGTTCAATAAAAGCACCGATGTAACAAAAAAGATATATGAGGAAGAGAGAAAAAAGATAAACAGAGAAAATGAGTGGAAAAAAAGGGGAAAGATGGCTCAATTCAACATAATTCTCATTAATCAACCAATTACAACATATATAAACTATATTTCCTTACTCCCTTCAATCTATAAAACCAACAGAAATTACTAGACCATGAGTGGCCCAATACATCTTAGCCCAAAACATAATCATGTAAATGGGCGGGTACCTTCTTACGCCCGCGAACTTATACAACATTTCGAGTCGCGGTTTGTGACAATTCGTTTTATAATCATTTCCTTCCCTCCTAAACATTAGCTAAATCCCCCCGTTTTACAAGGTTGAAAGAGCCCTTGGTGCTACGAAGGAGGATGAGTAAAGGAGAGACGACGACCAACAATGGGTGAATGGCTCGATCATCGTGGAAACAAAATGAGTAAATGTGCAAATACATGATGTTAGGGTTTCCTGATGATGATTTCTGCTAGTGTTTAGGTGGGAAAGTGATTATCAAGTGCTTGGAACATGATTACGTAATGGGAAAATTGGTTAAAAAAAACAGCCACGTGATTTCAGCCTCACACTTTCCTTTCGTAGTTGAGAGAAAATCAAACGAAATGACTAAATTGCATACATTAGAAAGTTTGGGAATAGTGTTAAATGCATTTCGAGTCAGTCCACATGACCCATACCCTTACTTGGAAGCTGTTATGTACACCTTTACCTAAATTATTTATCCCATATTGGAAGGTTAATCCTTCTCATTTGCTTCTCTTCATATTCTATCTTGCCTCTAATATTGTGTTAGAAATTTCATTTGGCAAGAACATTGTGCAATTTGGCAACAAAGCCTTTCCCTCAGGTGTAACCTCTCTTTCGCTGTAAAAACAGGAACCTTTGGCTCAGGCAATAATTTCTCACCATTCAGCATTAGAACCACCGATGATATTTCTGGCCTATCTTCTGGTCTTTGTTGCATACATAAGAGACCCACTTGTATGCATCTTATGACTTCAGAAGGTGCACATCTTTCCCATAACATTTCATCCAATAGTTCCAGTTGCCTCCCTTCTGCCCATAGCCTCCAAGCCTAATAAAATTGGGGCAATCAAATTGATGCGTTAGAAGCAAGTCAATTCTAACTAGTCCATTAGGTAGTGAAGTCATTGTGCTTACATGTCCAAGAAGATTGTGGTAATATTCAGGGTCTGAAAATTCTCTGTTTTTCTTCCCACTTACTATTTCTATAACTATCACACCATAACTAAAGACATCTGATTTCATTGAGAAACGCCCGCGCACAGCATACTCGGGAGCAATGTAACCCTGAAAGTACAATTTTCAAACTAAAATAAGTGACAATGCAATAACTCCATAAACCTTAATAAGGAATTTAAACTCAAATAAGTGACAATGCAAAATTCCATAAACCTTAATAAGGAAGAAGCTTACTATGTTCCAGCCACCCTATTTGTTTTTGCCTCAACTTGATCTCCCAACAATGCTCGAGCCAGACCAAAGTCTAATATTTTCGGGTTCAAATCTGCATCTAGAAGAATATTGCTGGTTTTTAAATCTCTATGAATAATTCTTAGTCTAGAATCTTGATGAATATAAAGAAGTCCTCGAGCAATGCCACCGATAATGTTGAAACGTTTACGCCATTCTAGCATCTTCCTTGTAGTTTCATCTAGTCAAATAGGCATACATGTTAGGCATACTAAATGCAGTTTCCAAAATATCACAAATACAGAAAAGGAATAAGAACATTGCTAGAGATTATATAGAGTAAATTGTAAAGGCTCAAACCAAAAATAAAGTAGTCCAAGCTTTTGTTGGGCATGTATTCATAGATCAACATTATTTCTTCTCCTTGAATGCAATAACTGAAAAGCTTGACAAGGTTACGGTGCTGAAGTTTGGCAATCAACAACATTTCATTTTTGAACTCCTCCAACCCTTGACATGACTTTTTGAAAGCCTTTTCACAGCTAATTCTTGTCCATCTGCTAGTGTTCCCTGAAAATCATCTCTCAAAAGTTAGAATTATGTTAAAAAACAAAAATAGCAATTCTTGATCAATTTTTGTACAGTACCTTGTATACTAGTCCAAAGCCACCTTCACCCAGTTTGTTACTGCTTGAAAAGTTTCCAGTGGCTTTAGCTATGATTTGCAAATCAAATGTTGGAAGATCAGTGTCTTCCTTCCTCAGTATGTTTTCATATTGCTTCATGTAAATTATTCTTGCTACTCCTGAATTGTTGGAAGATAGCATTAGGTAAGTTTTATGACTTCCCTTTCCTTTCGTGTACCAGATGTTAAAACTATATTTGAGACAAAATTTACCTCGCTTTATATGTATTGTTACACAGACACATAGAGTTAATCCAGTAATAATCACGCCAACTGTGATCCCTACCAGCTTCTTCTTGTTACTATTGCCATTAATCGCCACATGATCTGACAGATTCAAGGCATGACTAATCACTAATTATTAGTACAACAACTCAATTGAAGCTGACATAAGTCATTAATTTCTGTAGACTAAGGGAGTGTATAGTCAAAGGAAATGTAACTTGAATTAGCCCATACTATGTGACGAAAATGGACAAAAGTCAGAAAATAAAAGCAGTATTTCCAAGCATCACTTATAACTTCCTAGGTGGTCATTAGAAAAATCTTGAAACCTCAGATATTACGCTGATTAATGAAATATAGTCAACCGGATATCAGAAAGTAAAGGCAATTAATTGAAGAAAGAAAAAAAAATTGGGTACCTAATTCAGAAGCAGGGACTCTGATATAAAGGTCTTGTCCCCAGTGAGAAAATTTCCTCATGTCAAGAAGTTCATCAAACCAAAGAAGACAACCACTTCCTCCATTACGGATATCCAAATTTGCATATGCTGTACATGAACAGTTTTTCAGACATGACTTCTGACATTCCTCAATGTTCTTGGTCTTACTAAACCATGATGAAGACGTGTCTGGCAATTTCATCTCACTGTATCTAGAGAACCCATCTGTGTTGCTTTTTTCACAATTAGATTTATTCCTTGGAACACAACTGTTAGCCCAATATGATATTTTCCATTGTTCTGGAAACTTTGGAACATATCCTTTTAGGCATTCACATGTTGGAAGGTTACCATCCATATTTCATATAGAATATGCACCACAAAAGGCATAATTTTCGCACTCATCTTCTTCCCCAGTTGAGATTACTTTCCAGCTGCTTGTTTGACTAGTCCAAACGGAAACCTGTCCATGGCCTATAGGGGTCAATTTATATATGGAGGTGATCGATCTATCTAGGATTTGGTACTCATAATACACTTGTTTTTCATTCAAAACAAACTCAAGTCTATATGGTTGTGTTAGTTGAGGATCTGGGTATCCAGTGAAACCAACCCCATTCCAAGACCCTATTCTAAATCTTTTTACAGACTTCTTGAACTTAAAAAGTTGTGGATACCCTTTAAGGTGAATTTTTAGAGAATACTCTCCCTTGGCTGGATCATTTGTACTTTTCCAAGATGATAGGAATATTTCTTGACCAGTTACTAAGTCCCATCCAAGCTTCATTCCTCCCATAAAAAATGTATCACAAGGATAATCAAAACTCTGCCACAAAAACTGACCCTTTTCAGAATCCTGCTCATTTTTCACTATAAGATTTCCAGAATCCAAGAGCTGTGCAATTGGGTTATTCACTGCTTTGCTTGACATATTGGACGACCAAACACTGTTGTTTGTGCCATTGAGAAGCACGAGAGACCCCTTTTCATTGAATTGAAAGACTCCTGAATTCTTTTGGAGAGGTGTTTCTCTATTGACCACCCACACAACTGTCAAAGCGGATACTCTCGTGTACCATACTCCCAAATATCGATTTGTTGAAGTTCCAAGGCTAAAAAAACCCGCTTCAAATGTTCCACTAGCTGAAACTAAAGTCTCACCATCTCGGATAGAATGACCTCGAAGCTTAATCTAGTGAAGTGGTGGTTCTAATATAAGAGAATAAGAAGAATCCAATGTGTAACATGATGAACTTGTCCATCTTTTTTTTTTCCTAAGCAATGACTCGTGAAACTACAATTTGGTAACTCTGACATCAAATAACATACACAAGACGCTCACTTTCCTTGTCTCTTCCTCTAGTAAAAACGTCAAAGAAGATGAGTTTGGTTCTGAAGCAGAGGAAGAAGGTGATGTGTGAGAAACAGAGTTAGAAACAAAGAAACAAAAACATCTGTTTGAATGCTTGATGGTTCGAGGTGGAACAAATGCGTTTATGTTGAACCATGTCAGCTTCCGTTCTTGTCAGCAAGTAGACTTTTTCTCTTGAGAGAGAGATCAGGAAAGTGAGCAAATCAATGACGCACGTCATTGTAACATATTAAAGAAAAAAAAAAGATGGCCTACTACTGACTAGAGTGTCACAATTTTTACAATTTTTTATCCAAATATCACGAGATAATATTTTTTAGTCTAAACTCTAAACCCAAATGCCACGTAACATATTTTTTATCACATTAACATGCGTTGAAGTTTATTATGATTGATAGCGATGGTTAATCAT